AAAAAAAAAAAAAAAAAAAAAAAAAAAAAAAAAAAAAAAAAAAACTTAGAACATAGAACATGGTTGAGTAGTTAAGAGTGTATTTTGAAGTGATACCTTTGTTCTTGATCATTGATGTTGGCATTGGATGTTCCGGAGGCAGAAGCAGTAGAGGAATAATTAGGGAATGGTACATGGCCAGATTCAATGTGTTTGACATCCTCGACGAGAAGGTCGAAATGGGTCTTGACCTCGTCGGGGGTCTTGCCTCCGCCGACGGCCTTGGCGACATTGAGCCAGCGATCGGGAGTGTCCTTGTCAAAGACAGCCAAGGCCCTCTCAAAGGCTTTGTTTTGCTTGGGAGTCCAAGAGGAAGAGCGATGAGAGGAGGCCATGGAAGCCATTATGGATAGTAAGGTGTGGAAGAGAGAAAGGGGGAGAGATATAAGGGAATGGGAGAGAGAGAGAAGTGGGGGCGGAGAGATAGTTGGGAGAGGAAATGTTGTATAAAAGGGGAAGAGAGGACTCAGAATTTTGAATGATTTGTCTACTTAGCAACCACAAATTGGTAATGGGAGAGAAGACAAAGATGCACAGCAGCAAATGCCAAATACCATGCTCTCTCTCTCTACTCTCTCTCAAGACAACCCAAAGATTTTTTCGGGTTTTAGTTATATCGAACTTTTAACCTTTAAAACGGGTTCAAAATAGTAAGTTTAGTGTAATATAGACTCGTATTTATGCGAGATTTCGTTGAAAATAGCGAAGAGAAACTACGTTGAATTAGACCCTGAACCAATGAATCGAGACGAACCAGACCGAACCCACTGTGAATCAAAACAACTAAGTTGGACCGCATCTTTAATCTCTCATTTTATCTTCGGCTGCTTTTGCAAAACCTTAACAATGACAAAATTTGATGACGACCACCACATGTGAAGTCTAATGATGGAGAATAAGTGTAACAGTGGGTCCAAACCCACCACTAGCAAACATTGTCTTTTTTGGGTTTTCCCTCTCGAGCTCCCCTCAAGGTTTTTACCTTTATAAAGACTATTTCGTTCTCATTCCAAACCAATGTGAGATTTCACAAGATGACTGTGTTTATAATGCCACGCTATCGTACCACAATTACATTTGCATGAACATCAACATAAACCACAACAATGAAAACTCAAATCGAGACGAAATCAAAACAAAACATTCCATTCAATAAAAAACGAAATGGAAAAGAAGACTCACCATTGTCGATTCTCACAAATAGAAAATGAAAACAAAAGTAACATGACCAATTTTATTATTCATAACGACATATGACATTCAAATAATATAGGAGCAAAGAGAGGTTGGGTTGTAAAAAATCTTTTAAACCAACTCGAAATTGGTGACCCGAACAATTGAATAGAATTCACAATCCAACCGACCCTTAGCTTAGTGTATTGATTACAAACATGAAATATTATTAATTTTATAATAATATTAGAGGAAATATTTCTCCTGAAGAAGAAAAATCCAAATATTGACAAAGACATGGCAATAAAGAACAAAATCTTTTAACCACAAAATCCCACAAAAAGGCCCCAAAATGCCCTTAGTTTTGAATAAGCAATCCGTGTTTAAGGCAAAAATGAAGAATATTGAAGAAACCCACAACGCACAGGCGGCCGAGGCCCCGAGAAAGTTGCCCCAACGCCACACCAAGAACACACAGATAGCAGCGGCTCAGCTCAAGGGTTTCTTTCAAATGGGGTGTAAAAGGAAGTGTAGGAGATAAGCACGCCATCTGAAAATGAAAGCAAGAATGACAGAATCGAAAAGGAAAACAAAACCCATCTCATTTTTTAGGTCAATTTCTTCATCCCTTAAAGATTTCTTCCAGATTTTACCCCTTTTCTGTTTTATTCTCCTCCTTAGTAGCTCTTTATGGGCCCAAATTCAGACCAGAATCAATGGATTGTACAAGTTTTTCACGTGTGTGCTTCTGCTACAAAACCCCTTTTCTTTTCTTTTCAAATTTTCATCTCTGCTGAAATTTCCCTCTTCCCCATATTGCTTTACATAGTTATCTGCCATATGAAATCCCTTTGTGTTCTTCTTGCTCTGCAGGTACCCTTTGATGTGTCCTTTATCCTGAACAACCTTCCAAGCAAAGCTAGCTGGCCATACGAGTCCGTACAATGATTGTCTCTTGAGTTCCTTTCTTTTCTTTCTTTCCTATGGAGAAATGCTTGGTTCCCATTTCCTCTTTGTTGGGAGTTTCTTAGCCATTGATATCTTAGCAAGTAATCCTCATGTGTTTTCTTCCTGCTTGTCTTGGTTGGATTGATATGCTGTTTCCATCACTGTTTTAGAGATTTGAACCTTAATTCTCTAAGTGAATTTGTTTGGCTTTATTATAACTTACAAAGGAATTGAAACACATAGCTCAGGAGTGTGAAGTCCAAGCATGTTAGAACTAGCCCCATTTCAACTTGATACCCTTTAAACAATTGACTAATGGTTTGTATATAGAAGGTAGGAGTATCGATTGTTAGTTGAACCTCATGAATTACATGCTTTTCTGGATATTCCTTGCTAGTAATGGAACATGTTAAGATCAAGTCATTCATGCCACAGTTTTGTTGCGTGTATGTAAGATCCCATATCGGTTGGGGAGGAGAACGAAGCATTCTTTATAAGAGTGTGGAAACCTCTCCCTATAGACGCGTTTTAAAACCCTTGAGGGAAAGCCCAAAGAGGACAATATTTGCTAGCGGTGGGCTTGGGCCTTTACAAATGGTATCAGAGCCAGGCACCAAGCGATGTGCCAACAAGGAGGTTGAGCCCTGCAAGGGGGTTGACAAGAGGTGGTGTGCCAGCAAGGATGTTGGGTCTCGAAGGAAGGTGGATCCCCAGTCCCACATCGATTTGAAGAAGGAAACGAGTGCTAGCGAGGACACTGGGTCCCAAAGGGAGGTGGATTGTGAGATCCCACATCAGTTGGGGAGGAGAACGAAACATTTTTTATTAGAGTGTAGAAACCTCTCTCTAGCATACGCATTTTAAAAACCTTGAGGGAAAGTCCAAAGAAGACGATATCTACTAGCGGTAGGCTTGGACCGTTACAATGTATTTGTAATGACCTCTAGTTTCGCACACCCGTAAACAAAATGAAAGAACCAATACTAAACCGATGAGTGAACTATTTCTTGATATCAAGCATATCCCTGATGACCTGTTTGTTTTGTTTTGTAGCAACAGTTTGAGAATGGTGTTATTACAATCACAAAGGTTGGTTCATATGCTTTACCTACTTGTTCTTAGCTTATAATGGTCCTCAGCTATATGTTCCCTTGCTATATTTGGTTACTTTTATGTGAATAAAAAGTGACACATTTTACTGATCTCCAGCTAGAAGATATGGGTGAGCTTTGGTTGGCCCATTTTATATGTCTTACTCTTCAACTTTCAAACTATTGATAATCATATTCCAACTGATATCATTATATTCTTTTCAACTTAAATGTGATATAGAATCTTTGTTGTCCTGGATGCAAAGAATTGAGATGGCCCAGCTGAGTGTTTTTTTTTTTTGTCTGCTCTTACTTTTCTTTTGTCACAAAAGATACTTGATTAGGGGACCTCATTTTTGTTACTTTTCGAGATGATATAGCATCGATAAAGTTATTGCCTCGGGATCTTTTACTGCAGCTAGCTAGCCTTTTCTTTTCCGTATCGCTTGTGATGCTGTCTGAATACTTAGAATTCATTAAGAGTGGTCGGGTTCTATTGCGTTAGTACTGATTGGTGATGATCTACACTGTGGTATAATGTTTTACATTTTTGACATAATATGAGTGATTGTTTAGGAAAATAGAAATAGAGTTTGCTAGCTTTTTCGTTTTAAGGTCGAAGTAGGGAGTTGTGTCATGTGCGCTAAGAAAGCGTCTTATAACACTATTATGGAGATAAAAACGTGCAGGTTTTGGGAATGAAAACATAATCTAACAAAGCATTTGATGACTTTGGATGTGTGAGATCCCACGTCGGTTGAGGTGGAGAATGAAACATTCTTTATAAGGGTGTGGAAACCTCTCCCTAACTTTGAAGGGAAGCCTGAAAGGGAAAGCCCAAAGAGGACAATATCTGCTAGCGGTGGGCTTGTGCTAGCGAGGAGGTTGAGCCTTGAAGAGGGGTGGACACAAGGTAGTGTGCCAACAAGGACGCTGGGCCACGAAGGGGGGTGGATTGTGAGATCCCATAGTAGTTGTGGGGAGAAGAGTGAAGGATTCTTTATAAGGGTGTGGAAACCTCTCCTTCGCAAACGCGTTTTAAAAACCTTGAGGGGAAGCTCGAAAGGGAAAGCCCAAAGAGAACAATATCTACTAACGGTGAGTTTGGGTTGTTATATAAACCATTCATCGTGAATTAATTTCTTGACCTAAGCTCACGATGTGTTCTTGAACTAGTAAGTTCATTATATTGGGAGGTAAAAAGGGATGATGCGTAACAGCCCAAGTCCACCGCTAGCAGATATTGTTCTCTCTGGACTTTCCCTCAAGGTTTTTAAAATGCGTCTGCTAGGGAGGGGAGGTTTCCATACCCTTATAAAGAATGCTTCGTCCCCAACCGATGTGGGATCTCACTATCCACCCTCCTTTGGGGTCCAGCATCCTCGCTAGCACTCATTTCCTTCTCCAATCGATGTGGGTGATCTCGCAATCCACCCTCCTTCGGGGTCCAGCATTCTCGCTAGCACTCGTTTCCCTCTCCAATCGATGTGGGGGTCTCACAATCCACCCTCCTTCAGGGTCCAGCATCCTTGCTGGCACTCATTTCCATCTCCAATCAATGTGTGGGGGATCTCACGTGTTGTTGGGATTCATCATTATGTTTTAGAGTTGTTAAGCCAAATGGATAGATTAAGTTTGCAATTTGCAAAAGTGGGAAAGCAGATGAAGTGATATTCTTGGAACAATCGATACACGTCATAGGTCGGTTATAAGTAATAGTTTTCTCCGAAAGGAACCTTGGTTTCGATAATCAATTGGTGTTTTTATGTCTATAGATTCACGATTTCTGTCGTAATCTTAAACCTCCATTAGATGGAACACCTTTGTCTTTAACACCATTTTGACATGGTGAAAGCAGCTAGCAAATGGAAGTTAACGTTGCCCCCATTGTCAAGTTGGACAAGTCTTAGTCAATGCCATACTGGCTCCAAGCTACTAGTGGGCATAAATGATCAAACTTGGGACTGATCATGGCTTGATTGTTACCTCCTCCATCACAAGGAGTGGAATCTGTTTGAGAATAATATGTGCACTCCGAATCCTTATCAAGTATCGCCCTACTCCGACCCTTCTTCACATGAAAGTAATATCAATAACGATTCCTCGGGATTGTTCTGCTACATAGAAAGATTCAATCCTCTTTGACTGTCCCCATGAGTGAATGTGAACATGCATTTTTTTCATTTAGTTCCCAAAGGCTGATAAGAAAGGATGCGTGTTCAATCGTTAAGATGCTATACATGGCTTTCGTGTTCATTGCAGCCTTGCAGGTTGGAAGAAACGGACGAGAATCTTCAACTTTATGGAGAAGAGAAGAATCACACCGCCCCAGTC